TGGTAGGGGAAGCCGAAATGTACACTAGCGCACGCAGTGGATAACTTTGGCAGTAAAAGACGGTGTTTTTTATTTTGGTGTTCACAAAACATACGTGTGACAATTCATTTTATGATATTTTTATAAAAATGTATAATAGAGTTTTCCTTTTTAGAAAATAAAATATAAAGAAAAGAACTGAATACTAGATTTTCGTCTACATCTGCGACACTTAAAACTCTCCTACATATATATTTATTTTTTTTATAACAATGTCACATCGTATTTTATCTGCTTGCCAATATTATTTAAAGTTTGATCTACTGTGGCTATAATCTAACCTTTTATTTACTACAGTAAACGCTACAGCTTTCATACTGTTTTTAAATTATTAATTATACTTATATTTTAGCGGTAATTTTTGTATCATAATTGCACAAAATTGAAATTTTATTGTCACATGGTTTGACATGCAAAAAAAAATGATTTTATTACCAAAAATGAATTGTTATCGCAAAGCCCTATACTTTTACATATTAAAAACCTCAGCAGCAGCGTCTTTTAGTTCCATAGATACCATGGCGCTACCATGGCGCTGCAATCACGCACGGTGCCTATAGGGTCCCTATTAACTAGAAGAGCTCTTATCTTACGTGTCTTACGTCGGATTATTCGGATTTTGTACGCTAACGAGTAAACAAGTTGTTCATTTTCTTTTATTTTCTTTTCTTTCTTTCTTTCTTTCTTTCTTTTGAACTTAGATTAACCGTTACTTAACTTATAATAAACTATTTTATTTTTCTTATACACATAATTCTTTTCTATTCGATTCACGACAAATAAATCCAACAGATTATAGGCCCAGGACGAATAGTGAAAGGAAAAGATTAAAATTAAACGAAGTGGAAAATAAGGATAACGTGTTACATGTAACGGCCACGTTTGAAGACAACGTGAAGGACGAAAGGTAAGAAGTAAGAATCCACAAAGACAAAATGAACTTAGGAAGGATAGAACAAATTCAAAAGTTAACTAGCACAAATTATGAAACGTGGAAAATACAAATGAAAAGTGTGTATTAAGGTTAAACGATTTATGGAAATACATTAGCGGAGAGTTCATAAAGCCTGAAGGTGACTAGGGCGAATGTCAAAACAAAGATGAGAAAGCCATAGATTAAATAATACTAAGCATACATCCGAATCAGTTTAATTATACATTAAAGACGCTACTACCACAAACGAAATATGGAAATCATTGAAAGGTATATATGAATCCAAAAATCCAATGAGACAAAGTGTATTATTTAAGCAATTATTTAGATTAAAAAAAAGTCACAGAATGAAACTATGTCAGAATTCTTAAACGAATTTGTAAAAATTGCACAACAATTGGAAGAGTGTGATCTGAAGTTACCGGAAAACCTACTAACGATTTCGTTGCTGAATGCACTACAGTATTTAATAATATATTAATATAGGGAAATTCATTTAGGGTGAAAGGTACGAGGTGAACATACACCCAGTTTAATCCTACTAATAAGATTTATTTAACACGTTGACGCCGGCGCCGATTTTCAGTGTCTGCGCTGTGGGGCGGCACTGGAATCTAAGATACGCTTCATCTGGCGGCGCGTGATTTTTGCTTGTTCAAACCTGGACTAAGGTGGACCACCGGTGGTATACGCCGCCCTATGGGATAGTCTAGCGCGAGCCATCGGTGGTACACGCCGCCCGATGGGATAGTCAAGCGCGGGCCACCGGTGGTACGCGCCAGAGTGAACGTGTTAAAACAGATATTAGAAAAAGTACAATAATAGTTTCACAATTTTACGGTTACAACATAGATGAGCAACTGTATTCTTACAACTGATAACGACTTATAATACAGCTGCGACTACTAAATGACTATTAAAAAGTGCACAATACAAATTTTTGTAGGAAATTAATTGCTCTATAAAAATGGTGTCTTATGTTTTGGCGATTAAACTAAGCGTTCAAAAGATATTCATCATCAAACTTTCACGTGTACTGATTTTTGTCTCTGAATACAAATATTGCTTAAATACCATATATACCTTTTAAAATATACATTTACAATTTATAAATAAATAAATAAATCTTTTGTAATAAAAAGTATATTATTGCTTTTATAATCATATGAATTAAGTTAATATTTTATTATAAAAATAATGTTTTCTTAAACGTAAAAAAAAATTCGAATCTGAAGCGGTTAAATGGATTCCTTGCTCTGTCTTTCTTTCTCTCTCTCTCTCTCCCTCTGTCTCTCCATCTATCTCTATCTCTCTCTCTCTCTCTTTCTATCTTTTAATGAAACTTCTCTCAAAGAGTAAAACATAATTCTTTATGACTTCAATCTGTAATAAAAACAATTCACTAAGAGTTGCATCGCTATGATGACACCGATAAATCCAATCTTGCGATATGAAGAGTGATGGGAATGAAAAGGGGTTAAGAGGGGGAGAATGGGGGGATTGGTTATAAAAGACGAGTTAAAAATCATCACTCGATAGATATTAATTGGAGTTCGATCGAATTGTGTTCAACAGAAAGAGAAAGAGAACGAGAAAGAGAGAGAGAGAGAGAGAAAGAGAATGAAGACTTATAAAATATTATGTAACGTTAAATGTCTTTTATGTATTCTAAATAAAGTGCTTAAAGTTTTATTAAATAATAATAATGATAATAATATAATAAATTTTTCATTTATTTAATTAATAATATATTTATAATAAAATATTAATGTTAATAATATTATAATATTATTAAGAATTATTATAATAATAATGCATTGTTTTAATATTATGTGTATAGATTATATATTATATTATATATATTATTGTTTTATTATATATTATTAAAAAAATATTATTATTATTATATTA